TCTGATCTTTAGTTCTTTCCATAGATTTTCTGTTGGATTCAGGTCAGGTGATTGGCTGGGCCATTCCAGCAGCTTTAGTTTCTTTCTCTGAAACCAACTGAGAGTTTCCTTGGCTTTGTGTTTGGGCTCATTGTCTTGCTGAAATGTCCAGCCACGTTTCATCTTCATCATCCTGGTAGATGGAAGCAGATTTTTATCAAGAATGTCTCTGTACATTTTTCCACTCATCCTTCCTTCAATTATTTGAAGTTTGCCAGTACCATATGCTGAAAAACAGCCCCACACCATGATGTTCCCACCTCCAAACTTCACTGTTGGTATGGTGTTTTTGGGCTGATGTGCAGTGCCATTTGACCTCCAAACATGATGCGTATTCTGGCATCCAAACAGTTCAATGTTGGTCTCATCTGACCAGACTATATTCTCCCAGTATTACACAGGCTTGTCTAAATGTTGTGCAGCAAACTTTAAAGGAGCTTCAACATGCTGTTTCTTCAGCAGTGGAGTCTTGCGTGGTGAGCGTGCATACAGGCCATGGTGGTTCAGTGCATTACTTATTGTTTTCTTTGAAACAATTGTACCTGCTAATTCCAGGTCTTTCTGAAGCTCTCCACAAGTGGTCCTTGGCTCTTGGACAACTCTTCTGATAATTCTTTTCACTCCTCTGTCAGAAATCTTGTGAGGAGCACCTGGTCATGGTCAGTTTATGGTGAAATAATGTTCTTTCCACTTCTGAATTATGGCCCCAACAGTGCTCACTGGAACCTTCAGAAGTTTGGACATTCTTCTGTAACCGATGCCATCATTATGCTTTGCAACAATAAGGTTGTGAAGGTCTTGAGAGAGCTCTTTACTTTTACCCATCATCAGATGGTTCTTGTGTGATACCTGGCCATCATTTYGGACTGAACCAGCTGATATTAACTTGCACTGACGAGGCAGGCTTGCTTTCTAATTACTGAGAGAGTTCAGCTGGTGTCTTGGCTTTCCATGCCTTTTTACACCTCCTTTTCTTCATGTGTTCAATACTTTTTTCCCTGTGCCATTCCACATTATTACAAATAACMTCATTTCTGGACATTTATGGTTTGATTTCTTTGTATGTATGGATCACTTGGGTTGTTACCAACATCTGGTGAACATTTCATTTCATTAGCYCCTCTAGTAATATATTTATTTATTTATTTATTCTTTACCCACTTCTTCCTCTCAGGGTCACAGGGGTCTCTGGTGCCCATGTCTACCCATCACTGTTTGATGAGTGGGATATCTAAGTATGTTTTTCTTTACAAGCCATAAATTATCTTATCACATCACAGAACAACACAGAACCTTTACTTAATTGGTTAATAAGCTAAAACCTTTCATCATCAGTCCAACAAACCTTGATTGACCATATGTTCATGAAMGTGTTGATCGCCCTCCTTTGTACAACTGTGGAAGTCAGCTGTTTGTGACCAAAGAAGGAAAAAACATATTAATGTAAGGTGACTGTCTTTAATTAAAGGAGTTACTCAAAATGTTTGAGAAAAAAAAAACAGACTTCTTCAACCAGCTCAGGGCTGAGAAGTGCTGCACACAGTTTAACACACTGAGAACAAACACATGGTTAACCTTTAGAATGATGTCATTATTATTATAACAAGCTGTTTTTTAAGTTGTAATCTGCAGGAAAAAAAGGTTTGAAACAACCTGATCCTGATGCTGTGGTGCTGCACACAGCAGCGAGTGCACAGACAGAAGGAAAAGTGTCACCGCAGACAATTACTGTCACTTCTGTTCGAAATCTTAACCAGCCATGGCTTCATTGTTTTGGATATAATGTTAATGCAGTGAATAAGGAGCAATCAAGTAAATGGTGAATTAAATTCATGAAGCCTCTCTATCTGCTGTGCCTCATGACACACAGCTGGAACTCAGGGACAGGAGTGCTGCAGGGCGCAGGAGGAGCTGCTGCAGGCAYCTTCTATGACTGTAACATAATAAACAAGTATATTTCATTTGTTGGAGTCTGTGTTTAACCGCTGTTGGTGGATTGAGGCGTCGTCTCTCAGATCTCTTATAAATTGAGTGATTGAAATGTTTCTTTTAATCACAGGCCTCGTTTATTACATATTATTTACAAATGTTACCAGAATCCTTATTTCACTTTTAGAGCCATTATAGGGTCAGTTTAAACAACAAAGGAGGGGAAATTAATCTTTTATAGTTTTCCTTTCCACGGCTGTCACTTATTATCTCAAAACAAAACAAAAAAGAAATGTTCAGAGGTCACCAGTGACTAAACTTGCAGGAAAGATTTGGAAGTTGCTCTATGTCGGCTGCCCTTCCTGACTCAACTGGGGCTCAAACCCGCAGCCTCAGGACTACAAGACAGTAAGCATGAACAGTGAGCTTCAGCAGCCCTGTCACAATAAATGAATACTTGTGATTTTAAGCAATAATACAWCAACAGCTAACTGTAATTGATTCCAGATTGGACCACACCTGACAGGAACTTGTAGGCATTTCTGGACTAAATAAACGAGATGCACTGTACATAAACATGGTGCGTTTTACTGTGTTATTTGGATTGCATCTGTACAGTCATTTATGGGTCAAACTTCTTAATAGGGAACACAGAAATAGATAAAGTGAAAAATACTGTCCTTGTTTATTTAAGAAGGGACAGTGCATATTACAGAAAATGCCAGAATTAGCCATGGAGGCTAGCTTGTAGTCCCCTTTGTAAAACATCTATTGTTTGATGAACTCCAATCTGTCAGGTTTAGGCACAGAATGACCCAGGGCACCGGCAGGGTTCTGATGTAACAAAAATACGGTTTTATTTTAAATCAAAATGCTGACGAGGCAGCTGAAAAAACTCTTTAGGAGACATGGCAAAAACTCAATACAAAGAACATGAAAAACGAGACACACTTTACAGCACAATGACCGGACACCGACACAGAGACAGGACAGAGCTTAAATACACAGAAAAAAACTAATGAGGGAACAGAAAACACCTGAGGAGACGAAGGCAACACTAATCAGAAACTGAACACACCTGAGACAAAAAGGAACTGAGTCCGAAAATCCACTTAAACAAAAACCAAAATCTAACATAAAAAACAGAAACCYAAAAACCAAACAATGACACAACCCCCGCTTTAAGGGGTGGACACCGGACGCCCCAACATAGGACCACACAGAAGGGAGGACAGGAGGTGGCGAGACAAAACAAACTCCTGCAGGAGTCATGGGCGGGTTGTGTGGGGAGGGGTGGAGGGGAGGGGGTGTGCTCTGCCATGAGGAAGTTAGGCTTAAAGACACGTCCCAGAGGCGTTCCTGGTCCCCACCTGTCGTTTTGCTCCTCAGCATGTCTTCCTAAAAACGCTGCAGGATTTCTCAAACATGCATGACTGAGTCAGAGCAAGGCTTTGGTCATGTTTTTATGTGAGTGTAACATTATAATATGATATAAAACTCAAAAAAGTTAATTTGACATGATATTGCCCCTTTAAAAGAATTATCACTATAACCAGATTGTATACTGTATAGATGCATGCTTGGATTGATAATAATGATGCAACAACATTAATATTTAGGGGTAAAAGTGTTTTATCTGGATTAACCTTGAGGAAACATTTACATCACTCGAACAAAACTATATGACATGACATGTTGAAAATGGTACACACATTTAGAGGCTTCCCATCAAACATCAAATTCAACACCACATTTAGCCAATCTGACACCTCAGTTCACTCATAGCAGTTAGAAATTTCACAGCTGTAAATTAGCTAATAACTCACGAGTCCTAATGAACCAGGGAGCTGTCATGTAAAATTTATGCAGTATTTTCTATTGTGTGTGTGAGAGAGAGAGACTTCGAGGGTTTCGTTTAACTCCTGTTGAGAAAAGGAGGTAGCGTTTACAAAAAGGGAAGAAAAAAAAAAACAAAATGATCAGAAAAACTGTTCCTGTCTGTTTAGTCTGATTATGTGACTAAACAATTTGGACATTTTCTGTATTAAACCTTCACAATTCTCCATGACTGTTTATCAGTGTGCATTGCCAATGCAATGCAGACTATTGTGATTCATTTCCCATCCAAGTCAACTCCACTTTGGCACGTTGCTCCTCCTGCATACTTTGTCCTAGAGCTGCCATTGTAATTTATATCTGTAAAGCTCCTGTGCCAAATGATGGCTATGCCTTTTGGTACCTGTACAACTTATAGTTTTTTAAATATTAATGTTTAATAATTTATAATGGGAGTTAATGGAGCCTTGTATTGGTCCAATACTGCCCCCCTGGTGTACCTACTCAGTACTGCACCATAATTTATTAATATTTAAACTCAGTAGTTCAGTGTTTACAATACTAATATGTTAGTATTTTGATGTTTTACTATAATATTGTCCTAACATTGCTTTATTGTTATAATATATTGCAGTTTAGTGTCAACAACTGCATTGGCAATGTGGCCTCTTTCTGCACACATACAAACCAACCCCTGACAATCCACTCTGCCACAGCTCCAATGGTCTCATGGTTAATGCCATGGGCTTTCATGTGGGAGAGCGTAGTTCAAAACCCAGCTACTTCAACAAAAATTCTCTTCAAACTTCATATTGTCACACAATTACCCTCATTACAAACACCTGCTGACTTGACAAGCACAAGCTGATATAGAAAACACATTTGAAATTGGTCACCTTTCATTCTGCAAGAGCACTGCTGCAGGTAAAGACATGCTACATGGCAATGCACACTTGTTTTTACATCGTGAAAACCCATGTCTAGTGTTCGGTTTTTTAACCTGGGAACCCAGAGAAACCACAACAAGCCCGGCCGAAACATTAATCAACGACACCAGAGACCAGTAAGATTTAAGATTCACTTTGCAAAGAGGAGAAYTTCAGTGATACTTAACTCAGACGNCACACACACACACACACACACACACACACACACACACACACACACACACACACACACACACACACAAAATTATAATTATTTTATAAATTTATATAATTTTCATAATTTGATTTCATGTGTTCACAGAAATTAGCATTAGCAGACAGGTGATCTGAGTGCTGAGAAGAACCAGAGCTGGCTCCTCTTTTAGACCTTGTCTTTGAGTCCTACAGGACAGGTGACCCCCGTCCCTCCCAGTCCACAGTACCCATCTGGGTTTTTACTCAGGTACTGCTGGTGGTAGTCCTCAGCGTAGTAGAACGGCTTGGCTTCAGTGATTTCTGTGGTGATTGGGCCGAAACCTTCTTCTGTCAGGACCTGGGAAAAGCAGCAAAAAGGAWCATGATGACTCAGCGTTATTTTGTTTGTTTGTTGTTGATTAAACCTTGGTGGTTTTGCCTTTTGCCTGTTTCAGCTTCATAAATAAACTTTAATTCAACCACTGGCCTTTAGGGTTGGGCAATATTGGCAAAAAAATTAATGATGATTAATTACGGTATTTAGCYGATAACGATTAWTTTGACCATTAATACCCTRGAGTTCCTTGACACCCTTATTTTGTAGTCACATGACCAGTTTAGTGGGAAAGATTTGCTCTTTGTAAGAAATTGTTCCAAATTGTGTGAAAATTACAGATTTCAGGCTATACATCATATTTTAAATTGTGTTGACAGATAAATAAATTACAGAACTTTATTTTTAATGTTCGTCATATTTGAAGCGGAAAAGAGCACTGAGCAGACTGGCCAGAGTAAACCCCAGTCAGTCTGCCTGGTGGCATTAATCGTATTAATCGTCAAGTGCCAAAAAGTAATCGATTGTTTTTCTGACGATTAATAGTACACGATACGATTATGCCCAACCCTACWGGCCTTTAATGAAAAAGACAAAGAAATACCATTTAGTGTTTGATTTCTGAAAAGAATAAAATGTGACTGGCCTCAGGAAAACCAGCAACAAGTCTCCCCGCGGGTGTTTTGAGTCATTTACATTGTAGGGGTCACCTCGAGTGAAGAAACAAGATTTATTGCCTCGAAGCAGGCCTCGGACAGGCCTGACGAGAGGACAGG